TCTTCTTGCAAATATTTTTGTAACTGAAGCTTCCTGTTCTTTTCCTCCATTCATCTCTACCTCGACAGAAAACTCACTTTTAATTTCTTCTTCTTCAACTCAGAAAACTCACAAAAAGTAATGGCCAGCACCAGCAGGAGGTAATGATGGTGGCAATGGGAACTTAGCTGATTTTGGGGTCGACTTTGACCCTACTGATGCTGAACTGCTTGGTTTCTTGACGAATAAAATCCTGAGTCGACATGAATGTTTTCAGGACCTCATTCCCACAGCTAATGTTATTTGGAATTGACCCTGATCTACTCGCATTTGGTAATATGAACTTTTTCCCATTTTTGTATCCGTAAATTAACATGCAGTTCTTGTTTGGGGGGTTTTACTCATTTTCTGGGATTTTAATTCTGATTATTGAGTTGCATGTCCTTTATTTTAGAGGGATCTCATATCTTGAGAACTTGGTTGATAGCTTATAATGTTTTTTACGAGCAATATGTGATTTAAGTGAATTATTTTGATTCTTGATGTTTTTTCTTTGGCATGCCTGTTGATATAAATCAACTATTTTTGGCTTAATTATACGTTTATGATTGCCTCCTAGCTGTGTATAAGAATCCTGGTCATATAAATCCAATACGAAATGATTAAATTTGTGCTCTTGAATCCCTTTTCTTTAGGATAAGTACTTGACAAGATGGAGCAAGAAAGGAATTCTAAGCCTAATTTAAAAACCCTGAAAGTAAGGTTAAAAGTCTATAAGAATGTTGAGAGGATATTTACTGTCAAGATCGAATGGTATTCGGCTGTTGAATCTGATAGATCAGTTCAGAAGTGTATGGGTGGGCATGTATATCAGATCATTGCCAGTTAGGTAACAATCTATATTTTGTGGTCTGATTATTTTACTGTTTCTATCTCTTGCATTTCTTTAGGCAGTCTATATGGTTTTTTTCCGTCTTTTTGGGGGATAGGTAGAACTATCTATATGTCTTTGTGAAGGGTTTGCTGGATTAGGATTGTATAAAAATTAGGGTCAAAAAATTGGAGAGACTTATTATGTTCTGCAAGAATGCAGATTATCTGATTGGTAATTGGGAAGTCTAAGAATCTTTCTTACACCAAATGAGATCTTAGTCTAGTATATTTCCCAGTCACTTATTTCTAGTTGGTAAAAGAAAAAACATTGGCATTTTCCTTTTAAGCTTCTTTTCTCCTGGCACAGGGTTACAGAACACATAGCTTTACAACGTCAGAGCTCAAAGATAGCTTGAGGTTGGAGAAGTTTAAAACACTAGTCTTCACATCTCTTTTCCTCTTGGTAAGGTTGGAGATACAAATGCCACTCAAATTCTTTATCTGAAACATCACTCTGTTGTAAATGTTTTTCTTATTTACTTAATTTCTATGTTCTCCTTTGTTTCACTCCCGGTGCATTGACTCCTAGGTCACATTTTTAGAAACCTAATAACAGCTATGAAGCATGAACAGTATCTTTGTTTGTTGAAACTTCTTACCAGCGGAAATGTTCTAGATCATACATGGTAACCAATCTCCAAATCTTTCAAATTTGTCCTGGATTTTAGTCTTCCTTAAATTTAGTGGACTCAACTAGAGCCCATAATAGCTCCAACAAGTATTAGAGATCAATTTTTATGTAACATCTAATCTAATTTTGTCTTGAAGATTTCTTCTTTGCCTTATTTTATGCATTTTCTTCATTAACTACATTTCATCTTCAGGGTTTTTCCTGCTGTTTATCTTTCTTTGTTAATCAAGCTTCAGCATGTGATTCTTGTTGCACTCCGGGAAGGGAATGATTTTCTGCTAGGACCGTAGCTCTGCAGGAAATATGCTTGAGCTGCGATTGAGGAATAAAAAGTAAGAAAAACTTGAAAAGCCCTTTTTAAGCCATTTGTAAAAGACAGTCTGATCAGTCTCCAGAAAGGTGGCAAGATGATGCTTTGTGTAGTTCTTATAATATCACTTTCTGCTTCCCTTTTTGATCAATTGCTGCAACGTGAGAAAGGGAAGAAACATAGTACATGCTACTTTGTAAAAAGAAAAGAATTAAGAGATCTTTGGACTATCATAATTAGCTTATGGAGCATCTTGCTCAACTTCACAATTATCTTACATGTTTCATATTTTCTTGGCCATTGAGTTTTCTTGATAATTTACCATTTGAAAGGGATCACGTAGGTGGAGTGAGCACCAACTTTGTAACTCTGGCAGTTCCTAAACTCTATTTGTCAATGTGCTGCATAATTTGGCTTTTCTTATTCTAAAACCAATAACAAATTACTTGTTACTAAAAAGAGAAATTGAAGCAAATTGGGTAGAACATGTTTGACTAATCATAGATATTCTTTTATCAGTGAAAGTTTATGCACTTTGTCATTCATCTGCTGCACGGGTGTTTGTTTTTATTTTTGCGACTTTTTTCTTTTATTTGTGCGGATATTATTAGTTATGGTAATGTGAAAAGATGGTTTTTTAACACCATGAAGCCAACAAACTGTAATCTGTTTAATGGAGATGCTTACTGAGGCCCTAAATCAAAACTGGGAATCCATGTTCGTGGCATGGTGGAAGGCCGCAAAAAAGAGTTCATATACTATTGTGGAACGCAACTTGAGGGAAAAGAACTGACTGTGCATGCAAAGATACAGCGTAAATCCCACATTTGATGCAGCAACTGCAGTGGATGATCAAATTAAACATATGCTTATCCTCTTCCATGACTTGATGTTTCTTTTTCTATGTCAAATTAGTTCCCTTATATCTAAATTCCCATAAGAAAATGTTTTTGTACTTCTGCCTTTTCCTTTGACTCGAACTTACCTTCAAAGTTGTGCTATATTCTCATAATTAATGGCATTGTCTTTCTTCTGACAGGCAGCAAAACTTGTGCTGTGCAAGATATTTTGAAGGACGACTCCACCCACTCAAAGCGAGAGAAACAATAGAAGAAGTCGAGAGCTCTGGGACACCAGATGATCAACCATGGAGATTCTGTAAGGGGATGCTGTTTGTAACTGATGAACCTCAAACCTTTTAGCATAAAACTCCTTTGACTAAGAGCCATCATGTAAGTTTTTAGGTGTTAGCATTGCTTGTCCTACCTTGTGCATCACAACATACAGTGGATATATCCTTACGAAGGTCTTGTATTAAAAGGTATGCTGCAGATTGGCAACAATAATGCTATTCTTAGAAAGCAATTGACTTGGTTTCTCCTGCCTTATGTTGAATTAATGCAGTGCTTTTCTCTTGCTGTTTTCAGTTTTACTGTGGGCTTGTCCAATTCTGTCCTGGCAATTTGCTCTTAATTGCCATTTCTATCTACTATATATTGATGCTTCATGCAGTTAAACTGCAGATAAGGGAATACTTTATAGTTTCAAGATTTTGGATGATAACTGACGCTGTAGCACATCAGCGTCTGAACTGATTGTCAACATTTTGCTATTTTCACTGCCTTCAATCATACAAAGGTATTATTGACTTCAATAGTAACTATTATAACCATCTCTACCCACCTTATCCTTTTATCAGCTAGGGAGCTAGTGTTATGTTTCGATCTTGGTATAGTTTTCCATTCTTGAACTCTAGTATTTTTTACTACATTCAAACACAGAAAGGTCTTGTTAGTTTCTCCAATGACCATTATGTGTCCATAATTCACCCATAATTCATCGCTAATCCTACTCAAAAGCTTCTTGTTTAAGGCAAGGTGGGTGGAACAAGGGAATGAATGAGCAAGTTATTTTGTATTTCAAGTTTGGTGTTACCTATCTATCATTTAATCCAGTGTTTGATTAAAATTTAGGGCTGTCAATAGAGTTCGGGTGACTGGAGATTGGCTCATTTGGTCCGAAAGAAAATATGTTGAACCTATTATAACTCTAGATAGGTCAGAGTTTGGCCTATATTTGAGGCTCGATCAAAATGTGAGCCAAGTTTGGGTTGCTAGAATAAGTTTGATCAAAAGCCCAACCCATTATATATATATATATATATATATATATATATACATACATATAACTATAAACGTATTATTTTTAAACATGCAATGTATAATTAGACTATTAGTAATTAGACTATTAGCCCAACCCAAAATGCCTTTCTTCTTTTAAAAGAGATGCAAAACCAATATAAAATGTCATCATCATTGGGAATTTTCTTCATCAGATGTTAGTTTTGTGCTGCAAGCATCCGTCATTTAAGCCCTAAATCACTAGCCCATCCGGCCAAGCCTTAAATTTGCTTCAATTCTGCAATGCACGGTCTATAGAGTATAGACCCTTTACCTTTTTTACATAACAAAAAAGGTAAAATATCAAAAAATTTCTCGTGATTTACCGAATGTTGAATTTCACTCCCTTTGGTTTGAAAAATCTACACTATAGCTGTCTATAGTTTCAACTAAATCAAAAATTGAACGTAAAGCATCCAATCTACCGGTTATACGTGAAATATATTGTCCCTGTAGATATGAACTCCCTATGGTTGTTGATTGTTCAATCTAACTTTCTCTGATTTGAAAAATTACACTTTAACTCTCTGCGATTTCGACTAAATTGAAAATTGAATGGAAAGCCTTTCACGTATAATAAAAGCAATATTGATATTTCATATACAACCAATAGATTGGATGCTTTCTGTCTAATTTTTAATTTAGTCAAAATTACTGGAAGTTATAGTGAAAGTTTTCAAATCAGAAAATATTGAATTAAATAATCCATACAAACCGAAATACGTCTTTCTTCTATTCTTCCCTTATTACAGTTTCAATGAAACATGAACAGGGCACTTCCAGCCACAAGAACAGAAAATACATACACATTCCACAATAGATAGTCATTTTCCCAATCGTCAAACAAGACTTTCTTTCGTGACAAAACCAAGACAATGATCCCTGCTTTCGGTAATTTACACGCTACGATTTCCTGTTGATTTCTCGTTAACAGCTGTTTGTTAAAATGGCGCAAGGGTCTCCGCTTGCCTCAGAATGACTTGACAACAATGCCATTATTTCAAACAAAGACAAACCCTAGGGACAGCTCAACAATGAGAAAATCAGTTCAGAAGAAATGGCTCTAAGATCTTCGACCCCTGGGGCGATTCATACTGCCAGGTGGGAACAATAGAACCTTTTGTAATGGAGCATCACTAACATTATTCACTCAAATTGATTATCTTGGTTCAGTAATCCAAGTCTAAGAAGAAGGAGATGGTAACAAGCTAATTGCTGGCATGCTTATGTACAAACAAAGGATATATGATAAGTATGGTAAAGCTTCCATTTGAGACACAAACAAAAAATGGGGTACATACAAAAATTTACCAATCTATACCCAGATCTCGAGATGTGAAGAGTTTGTCAACGTACAAGATGATAGGGGCAACTGAGTCTATATAAATTTGCATCTTTGTCTTTGCTGAGATTTCTGAAAACAAGAATACCAAAACATTGCCGTTAAACAGATACTGGAAAGTGATATAAGTGTCAATGAAGAAGCATCTGCAACAGAACATCAATTCTATGCTTAAGGAAAAAAATCAAGGGGAATTTGAATATCTGGTCATGTTAGTTGGAGCGTGCAGACCAATAGTGCATTGACAATTTGGCGCTTGCACAAATTATCTTATCATGTATAATCCACTAGTGTGAAGTCAGTTCTAATAGTGATAGCATTGTCCCCTTTTTCTCCATGGTTATCACCCCTCCAGCAAAAACAAAATTCATTACCTAGACCTCCACATACAGGTTTATAGCCAACTAATTGACTTCAGAAAAATTCCACAGGGTGAACTAACAGAATGAAGCAAAAAAGGTCAGGAACCAAATGTGTAAAACACATTACATGGCCAAACCTAGTTCAGTTTGACTAGCCAAATGAATGCACAATTAGTCAACATCAGACAGCAGGACAATTTGACAAGTCACCAAATTCCACATACAGTATCAGTGGAAATAAGCTAAAATGCATTTCACATTTTTGCCGAGTATGGTGCCAACGCAGAAGTTAAGATATGAATTACAAACTTACCATCTTCATTGAGTTTCTTCAGTAGTTGAGCCCTTGTAGGAAGCGCATACATCCCCGCCGCCACAGCTTTCCTAATAGCCCATGCATGGTATGGAGCAAATACCTGTGCATAAGCTGTTGAAGCTGGATCCTTCAGGGAATTTCCACTGCCAATATTGGGTTTTCAAATTTTAGAATTAATTCATAGAAATTATGAAAAATAAACATCACAAGAGAATATTTTTAAGTTGTAATGAAATTCATTACAAGTATCTCCTTAGAAAGAAATGGAGTAAAACTCATATCATTTGATAATAAATTCCTTACTTCGTACTATTAAGTAAATATAAGAGTAACTTGGGCAGAGTAATTTGGGCACAATAACAGGAAAACAGATGCATGTATTATCATTTACCAGATATTTTTCTTTCGTTCAACTGCTAAATAAAAACTAATCAGGTGGAACTAAGATTCTGTGAGCAAACACATTTACTTTCTTACTTACCACTTCTCCTACACAACACTGCAGGTATTCTTTCTTAATTGAACACAAATACCTTAACCTTGCTTAAGGTTACTGTAGAACAATTTTAGGATCACTTACTCTGATTTACATGGTGAGTTCTGGTTTAAATTTTCCTAAACTTCCGCACTTGAACCGTCAGAGGTAAAGCTAATCCCCATAACTCCATATCCCAGATATCAATAGTAATCTTCTCTCATTATTGAAACTTCAACAACTTGAAAGTTCACAAAACACATGAGCCATTTAATCATGACAAACATCCTTATCCCGCACGTGCAAAATGAATTCAATTTGGTTAAGTACATAACAAGCAAACCTCTGGTCACCATTAACCGTAATCCAGAAAATGACTGCAAATGTTCTATGTAAGATAAAAATTCTATTAACAAACTGAGAAAAAATAACAAAAATAACATTATGTATATGCGTTTCCATGACCAACATGGAAACACACAGTAAGGAGATCAATTTGCTGAGTTTGTCCAAGCACCCTCTTACACATTTCCCCTTCATTCAGAAAAAGGATACAGCAAGAGAAAAACAAAGAAGAAGATTAACATAACATGTAGCTCATACTGTTGTGGAAGCTTAATAGCTTCATTTTCTATGTTCAGCAAGAAAATTCCATGAGCAGGCATGGATACAATTTTCTCATGATACAAATGAAGTATGTAAGGGAGTAATTCACAAAATAATCTTGAATAAGTTCAATACAAACATTCTGTATACCTCAGTATATGTCATTTAGCAGTATCTCAATACCAATAGAAAGGAAAAAACAAAGAATTCTACCATATGCACATATTTGAGCGCCAAAACTGAAGCTAAGCCACTCCAGAACTTCCACTATTTATCTATTGTAGATCTATAAAATGTTCGCTCACAGACTCCACTTTAGAATCAATATCCTCAAAATCACAAAGAAATACCAACTCCTAGCAATGTCCTCAAGAAATTCTCCCAGTTCATCCAGCCTACTCATTATGCCCTTTTACAGGGAAGAACCTAGAAAATCAGAACTAGTAGGTAATGATTACACAAAGGCTAACTTCAATTTACCTAAAACACCCACCACGTTTTCCTAAGGATACTTTTGCATGGCATTCAAGTATGAAGTGGAATACTGAGCAATCTTGGAACCTCTCCATCCAAAATACTGTTTGACATCAAAATTTTGCAATAACCAAAGAAATCAAGTGTCGAATTAACACAGAATTTCTTGAGTGATACCATGCAACTGAAACATCATATTCCATATCAAATTGCAAAGACAAGCGACTGAGACATTCATGTGCCTTCTGACATCAAATCTTACCAAAAAGTGACAAACTATTAGTTAATAGATCTCTCTTGTATGTCTTAATTTCTTGTAACAGTCCTCTAACAGTCTAAGAAACATGTAAATGCAGTCCAGCTTCCACCTGTACTAATTTCACAACCTCAAGCAGTCGGTGAAGCCACAGTTTCAGTCATTTGTCTAAAACCTCCTTCGTCAGGTGAAGATATCATATGCACCATTGAAAGCAACAAATTGCTTAATTTTTTTTAAAAATGCAAGATTTCAGCCCTTCAAAGCTCTGGATTGCTATTTACGAGCAATGGTTCATTGGAATGACATTGCCAATGCAACAAATTCTGAATAGTTAGGTTCTTCTGACTTGCAAGACTAATAGCATTCCCACCCAAGTATGCAAAACCAGACTTCTTGATTCCTCCTCCATTTTTCAAGATCCTAAAAATCATTAAGATCACAAAAGATCCTCCATTTCTAGTAATTATGAAGCTCAAACACCAAGATTTAAAGCAATTTAACAAAAGCTAGCTGGACTAATTTCTTGAGATCTACACAACCTACAATAATAGGTCATGTCTACAACTTTTGTAGATACTATCAGTACTGGTCTTTCAACTAGTAGTTTGACAACAAAAATACATAATACATGTAATGAACACCAAATATATCTTCCACAAAAAATTTCACTATAACTAAGTAATTTGCAAACCAAATTGGTCAGAGCTCTCTTTCTCCAGTCAATCAGCAATAAAAAGAAACACTATAAACAAACAAAGATCAACTTCCACTTTATCAAACTTCAAACTGTCAGAGGTTGAACAAAATCCCAACAAATCACAATATAAGCAACTATAACATTTGCACAAGCACACATCTGTAATAATTACAAGTTGCTAGGAAATAAGCTCATGATAGATGTTCTATACCTTGGCAGCTGGTGCATCACAGAGAAGGTGCTTTTCTTTTCAAACAAAAGAAAAGAAAGCACTACTTTAACAAAATGTGAGCAGCTCTTTGGATTACACTTTTTGTGTCAACCAAAGATGGCCTTATGGAAAAGGCCATAACCTTTACAAACTAAAAATGCTCTAGTTCAAAACAAATCCCCACAAGTTCCTTTCGACCTTTTTTTTCATGCAAAAAAATTCTCTGAAATTGAAAAATTGCATAGGGTGTTCATTCAACACTAGTCCATATATATCTGATTCAGCGCATAGACTTATTATTTTCCAATAAATGATTTCATGTCATATCAGTGAAAAAACAAGAAACACCATACTCAATGTGTTTCTCGTACTATCTTATTCTGGTTATCTTCAACTATCTACTTAAACAATCACACTATGCTCAATATCAGATAACATCAACTTCAACAAAACATCATGTGAGAGGTGTTATCCTAGCATTAGTTTATGTATTTTTCTAATCATCATATTGAATTTGTGATTTCAAAAAAATTTCTACAGAAAGCGAACATACTTTGATGATAAAATCTGTTCAAATAAAACTTTGACCATATCCAGTCCGCGCTTCACTCTTAACAAGTTCCTAGTATGACTTCCTGCCTTCCTGACACAATTTGCTTCGATGTCCCTCTCCATCATGACTTGTAAAGTTGCAACTGATTTAGATGTCTCTGCCAGATCATCCACCTATTGTCCAACACCAAAAATTGAATTATAAAACTAACTTTCAACAGAAATTCATGAGAATGTGTTTGTGCATTTCAATAACCCAAATCAAGAAAAATAAAGAAAAACTTCTTCCATCACAAATTTCAAAATGTAAAAAGAAGATACATTAAGAACATCCCGATAAAATTAAACACAGATACGAACATGAACAGAAAGAAAGAACTTGACAATTCAATAACATTCGTTAGCAATTCAAATACGCCCCTCCATTTAAAGAAGGCAATGTAATGCCTTCTTAATATAAGCAAACATAAGGCAATGTAATGCCATTAAAGAACAAAACGTAAAACACAAATGCAGTGCGGGATTGTAATTCAACGCGAATATAACAGACTGTAATCAATCAGTTGAAGTATGACACTTTTGAGCCTATAGCTTGTATGCAGAAAATTACTGATGCCATATCACTTTCATCTTACACATTCCACACAACCCCACTTCAGTGATAAGAAAAGACTTTTTTCTTTTTCTCTTTCGCCATTCTGATAATCAGCCAAGTGTCCATGTTAATGCCAAATTCAGCGTGTACTGAAGAGTACCCATTCTTTCTCTTTACAATCATATTCGGCATTTCAGAGTTTTTCATGAATTAAATCTCATACAAAAGACATGAAATTTGACCTCAATTGCTCAAGTATTATATCTCTATGTATCTATTCAAACAACAGGCAAACAAACTACGATCAATTCGACATTTTTTGTTTAATTAAACTGCATTCAATTACAGACCAAGATAACAAAAATCCCTTCTTTTCCACAACAATTCTCTTAAAAAGAACCAATTAAACCCAAAAGAAATCCCAGTGAACAAAAAACCAAATTAACGTGAAACATTACAATAATAAAAAGGCAGTGGGATTAAAAGGGCACTATACTTTGGCGACATAGTCCATTTCCGCAAATTTGAAAGCGATTCCAAGACAACGAAAGAGAGGGGAGACGAGAGAGCAAGCCTGGGAGAAGGGACCGACTCCGAGGTGGGCTTCATCGAGGCTATTTTGGGAATTCAGACTATCGGACAGGGCTTTGAAGGCCTCCGACATCTGCCTCAGCGGCTTCCCTTCCATATGAGGATTGATCGCCATTTTTGGAGTTGACAAACGAAGAAGAAAGGAATATTATCAGAGCTGGAATTATGCCGGGAGACAACGCTAAGTTGATGCTGTTTTCTGCAGTTTTTATATTCCTTCTCAGTGGGTGGTGAATGGCGTTTTTTGGAGAGTAGAATCGAATCAAATTACGTAGAATTAGAGTAATTTTTTAATTAATTTTGGAATTTAGTATTTTTAAATTCGTTTTGGGTTATGCGTCCTATAAACCCGCGGAGCAAAAAAAATGTTTGTACCGGCATTATTTGCACAAGAATTCTTTGCTTGCATCACCAACATTCCTCCGAGGCATCTTTTTATATTTTTTATTATTTTTTATTTTACATATATTATAATATAAAAAATGTTACAGTAATTATTTCAAATAAATTTTTAATTTGTATTTTATCTAACTTATCTCACATGTCAAGTCAAGGTTGGCTCATTCATCTAGCAAATCACACAATTGTATTTTAATTTGATCTATTTAAATGGTTAATATTGTAAACACTAATCGTGTATAAATTAATGGATTTTTATCAGTTTACCCCCTTAAATTATACCCAATTATTAGTTTAGTCTCTAACATTAATTTTTAGTCACTTAAGTCCATCTGTTAAGTCAAAGTAGATAATTGACCATTAACCCACTTAAAAATTGCCCCGCTAACTAACTAAAAGTTTGGTGAAAACTTTTGTGACAAAAATACCCTCCTCTCGTGCTTTAACTATAAAACAAGGATTAGAAGGCTTTTCTCTCTTCTATTTTATTAAATTATTATCAAAATTTCTTATTTTGTGCAATACCTTATTCAAGACATTGCAAATATGATGATATTGAATTGTGGAATTTCATAACCTATTTGCACGTCATTCCGCAAAGACAATCTTAGAAAATTTTATCGTTATTCTATTATAAGCTCTATTTGTCCTCAAGTGATATGTTAGTAAAAAAATTTCCCTAGTGGTCCTTTTCTTTTCATAATTTTCCAAAGTATAAGAACATGCGAGTTTTTTCAAATTGAAGCAATTCTCACACATTAAGGAATTGGGAACCGGACATTATTAGTTCAAATTTTCGCTTCAAGTCATTCAAGCTTGATTTCCTTGATTTTGTCTGTTGATCCGTCGTCAAACACTTGATTTCTTTCTAGGGTTTCTATGAGGGAGAATGGAGAGAGTTTGGGTTGCTAATGACGAAGAAGAAATTAGAAAAGTGACTTCGATTTTTTTGTTTCGTCGTCCTGCCACTTCATAAAGAGCATTTTTGAGAATGAAATTTCTTTTTTAGGGTTTCATAGGCATATTTGTCCATTCATAATTAAGTTGGATCTAAACATGTCTTTTCACATGAATCCATCTTGTTTGACCGTTAGTCCAAGAAGTTAAGTGACTAAAAGTTAACGTTAAGGACTAAACCAATAATTGGGGTATAGTTTAAGGGGGGTAAAGTGATAAAAATCCTAAATTAATGAATATAGATACGTGTCACTTAATTTAATTTTAATTTTAATTTCAATTTTTACACACGTGATATGCATCTATACATACTATTATATACTAGTGCTAAATGCACATTTGATGCGTGTAATAAAGAACTACATAATATTTAGGGTTAATTGCATTTTTGTGACGGCCCCACCTCACCCTAAGGCGAACTAAAGGGTTCGGTAGACCGCCTGCCCAACTCTCGGCTGGACTCAGTCATACCTCTATCAAAACCGGTATAAAACTGCAAGAATCAAAACGAAATAGAAGGGCCGCCGCCATACAGGATCCAACCAAGAACAAGTAAACTTTGTTTGTCATGAAAGAATGTACATTCCCAAGTACATATGTTACATAAACATGAGGAAACACTTTAAAATATACATATTAGTAAGTTTACAAATCCAAAAGGAAACATTGTATTAAGATATATTTAGGGTTTCCAAATTGTCGAGGAGCAATACCAACAGAACAAAAGAATTTCTAACTAGCTCAACTCATTTCTCAAAACATTGAAGTTCCAAAAGATGGTTCCCTATAAGGAAAACAAGGATAACGGAACGGGGTAAGCTAAAAACTCAATGAGGTACCCACAGTATAAACAGTAAAATCAGTAGAGTTCATGAGAAAGCACTTTGGAGGCACATATTCACATCAAATGCGAGAAATAAATGAACATCACAATGTAAAGGATACATGTGGCTCTCAGGAGTCAAATTCCCGTTGCTATACTTGATCCAGCCTCCGTCAACGTTCAAATAAAGGAACCAGTCCGGTAGAACACCACTTTAACGCTAAAATCCCGTTCACCAAACATACCCCTTACCGGGCCCGAACGGCAAACAGGAACAGGAATGGTAATACTCAAGTATACCGGAATCAAGAGTCTCAATACCTAAAGATTCCCCAGGAACAGGTACCCATGGATTGTCAATTATCTCGACCAAGCCCTTGCTGGCTCGATTTAATTAACTCTCCATGAGGTTGAGCTCAAGTTTAACAGGAAGATCGTTGGACACACTTCCAAACGATCTCATAACAAGTGCAAGTACATAACAAGTACAAGTAATAGATTCCAATTCGTTCAGTACAGGAAAGAGAACGAGTGTGATCAAGTACACCCTCGTCTCATACAAGATAAACAGTCAGGAAAGACATTCAAATAACAATTTGCAAGTACAGTAAACCAGTTTAGCAATAATTCAGGGGAGTGGTGCACTCACCAGTTAAAGCAAGGATACGTCAAAAGTTTCAACCAAAGTAGAGCTCTAATCACCAAGAAACCCTAGAATAATCAAGATAAACAATTATGGTTCCCACAGTCACAAATCCAATAAATGAAATGCATAAATGAGACTCGACTACATGTCGTACGCCTTTCCAGATTAAGTACTAGTACAAAAGAATAACATATGACTTTTGAACAAAAAGGATAACAGTTGGTCCTAGAGTTACAAACAACTCCCAAAACCCATCATTTTTACCAAGATCAACTCAACTTGAAAAAATCACGTAGCCCTAAAATTTTGGGCAGCATGCCCTCTGTATTTACCTATTTTCCAGCCATTTATGCCTTCATTATTTTCCTCAATCAATCCCAAAATCATACACAATATAAATTCATCACAACAGCCGTTCAATAGGCTCAAAGTCATTCAAGTACAAGATTTAGTGTGAGAACCCGTAATTTTCTCATTTTTCTAGGGTTTTTCTCGTTAATGGCATGTTTTCTGCATTTTCTTTATTAGGAAAATTTTCCTGATAATTTTTATGAGTAAATATAGGTTTTAGATGATTTTTCTAGTATCGGTTAGATTTTGAGAAATTAAGAGCGTATACCGGACATGGACCCGCTAGTGCGGAAAGTTCGGAAAAATTCGACCAACTAGATTAAGTTTTGGATACTGGGGTTAAATTATCGGGTGTTATGAGATAATTAGAGGTTGTTATATGGATTGGTGTGAGAGGGAACAAAAGAATATGTATGCATTAAATAGGGTGACAAGTGTCACCATTTGGTTGGTTGTACTTTATGACCACTATTCATTTTCTTACCAATTGACCAAATAAATCAAAAAATACCAAAAATTCACCATTTTCTTCCTCTTCATAGCCGGCCTCTTCAAGCAACAAAAGAAAGAAAACGCTTCAAGTTTTTGGCTTCAATCTTGCTCAAATCTACCAAATCAACCACTTAAACTTACTTTTGTTCCATAAAACCTCTTCAATTAGTGTTGGTGAGGTGATTGGTGAAGTTGTTTGGAAAGCTAAGGTGACTAATTACTCTCTCTCTTGTGTTGCTAAGGTGAGTTGTGAAGGAACCCCTCTCCTCCACCTAATGATGGGCCTGTTTGGAAGGTGAGTTTTTTTGGTGTTTGTATAAAACTTTACTGTAGATCACTGTAGAAGTTGTAGAAAAACTTTTGTAAGATAAAAAGTTTTTTTCCTTTTCATTTTCTTTCCTTCTTTTTCTTTTTTCTTTTTTTTTTCTCTCTTTCTTTTTTCTTTTCCTTCCTCCCTTCCCGTTTCTTCTCCTTCCCCCTTCCCTCTGCTGTTCCCTCTCCCGAGTTCTCCATGGCAGCAACTTTCCTTCTGCCTTTTTTTTTATTGCTTTTTTTCTCTTCCATGGCAACCACCTTCCTTCCCCACCATCCCTCTTCTCCTTCTCCCTCTCCCTCTCCCTCTCCCCTTCCCTTCTTTCCCCCGCCGCCCCTCCCCTTCCCCTCTCCTCCCCTTCCCCGCCACCCTCCCTCTCCCCCTTCGCGACGCGTTCTGGTCGCACCTCTCCCCATCCCCTTCCTTTCCCCACCGCCTCTCCCCTTCCCCTCTCCTCCCTTTCCCCGCCACCCTCCCTCTCCCTCCTGGTCTAGCCCCTCTCCTTCCCTTCTCCCCTTCCCCCGCCGCCTCTCCCCTTCCCCTTCCTTCCCCCGCCGGCCCTTCCCTTCCCCTCTCTGCCCCTTCCCCGCCACCCTCCCTTTCCCCGCTGGTCTGGCCCCTTCTCTTCCCCTCTCCCCTTCCCCCGCCGCCGCTTCCCTTCCTCTCTCCTCCTTTGCGATCTGGTCGCGAGACCAGATCAGTCAAAGGGGGAGGGGGAGGGGAAGGATAAGGTGGCGGGAGAGGCAAATGCTAAGAGGAGAAGGGGAGGGAGAAAAAAAAAGGAAAAAATTTTCAGAAAGGCACCATAGATTGGTCAAAGGGGGAGGGGAGAGGAGGAGAGGAGTTGAGATAGAGAGAAAAAAAAAGTTGAAGGCCGGAACTAGTGGCCGGCGGCAGAGGATGTGGTGGGTTGGGTGGGGGAGGAAAAAGAAGAAAAAAAATTGAAAGGAAAGTTTTTTGTGTATTTTTTAAGTGTGTAGGTTAAAAATTTTGATAAGTTTTTTGGGGTTCCTGTAGCAAAAATTGTTAAAAAACTAGTATTATACAAATTTGGTAAAAACTTGAGGTGCCAAACAGGGCCGATGTTTAATTTGTGACTTGAGGTAGTTGAAGTAATGGTCTTTGGTGTTATTTCATGATTTTTGGTTGAATTGGTGAAGTTTTATAATTATTGGTGAATTTTCTATTTTTATATGATTATTATTATGTGGGCATGTATGATCATTGGAAATGATATTAAGGAAACTAGAAGGTGGAAAAAGTGGTTAATTGCAGGAAATTTCTGTTTTGGAA